GGACCCTGCCCTGCTCTGAAGCTCGTCCGTCAGGGCTGGACCCTGCCCTGCTCTGAAGCTCGTCCGTCAGGGCTGGGTGACGTGAGCCCCGGCTACACGGTGGTCTCGTTCTCCCACGGCCCTGTCCGGATGTTGCCCATGCCATTGAAGGACGAGACTTCACGCATGTCTCCCTTGAGCAGCCCGTTCTGGCCGGGTCCACCGAAGGGCAGGGACTGTGTCCTCCGGAGCATCTCGAAGTGCACTGGGCCGTGGGCGGACTCCCTGCCTGGCCGCAGGGGGCAGCTGTAGAGCACCGGGCTGGTGTTGCTGCCCTCGGGCTGGCTGACCAAGGGGCAGGGCTCGCCCTGGGCATAGCAGGCCAGCGTGTGTGCCCCCACTGGGCCCTCGAGCGAGCTGGGAGGGCTGTCTGTGCGTGAGCTGCGGGGGCTGCCATCCAGGCTGGACGGGATGTGGTAGGCGTACCCCTGCTCCACCGAGGCCGCCCGGTGCCGGCTGAAGTAGGGAAGCTTAGTTCTGCCCTGGAGACACCTGTGCAGGTGTGGGTCTTGCCCAAAGGCGTCCTCCTCGTGCATGTGGACGTGGGCCGCGTCCTCCATCAGCTGCTCACAGTGCATCTTGGCGCAGCACGGCGTGGCTGGGGACAGGCAGCTGACGTGACTCTGGGCAGCCTGCAGGTTGGTCACCTTGCAATGGCCAGCAGGGGCGTGGCCGAAGCCCCGCGGCTTGGCTGGACACGGTGCGTCCTGCAGGCAGGCCACGCGCGCCAGTGCATCCCCGTTGGTGTCGAGCGCGGGGCAGGCAGCGAGCTTTGTGGAGTGGGCATCCCCGCGGGAGGGGCAGCAGGACCACCAGCAGTGCCACACGTCATCCCGCTTGGCACAGTGGTGGATGAGCACGAAAAGCCCCAGGGTCACGCAGCAGGTGCCGTACAGGCAGCTGAAGACCATGTCCAGGAAGTGGCCCTGAGACACGGCCAGCGCCCCAAAGGTCCAGGTGGCCGTGAACAGGAACAGCGTGAAGGCCGCGGCCCGCAGCTGGGCCTTGAGCGAGTGCTCGTTCTGCAGCAGCGAGGCGGCCAGCGAGCCTGACCGGGCCCCGGGGTTGTGGCTGGCCACGGGCCCAGCCAGCCGCTGGTGCTCCTCTGGCCGCACCCTCAGCTCGTACCTGCGCTCCGGGTGGCGCCGCAGCTGGACGTAGGTGCCCAGGAAGTACACGCAGGTGACCAGGGTGATGAAGGCCACCGGCCCGTAGAATGCGCCCAGGCTGGGCTCCCAGGCCATCCAGCAGCTGCAGGAAGAAGGGGGTCAGTGAGGGGTCGCGCTGGGGCCGAGCACCTGGTCGTCCTGGGGTCACGGGAGGACGTTCTCTACGGTGCGTGAGTTTAGTCGTGGTGAGGGGACAGACACAGACACGCCCACCCATCCTGTTGGGGCCAGGACAGCGTGGGTGGGTGTCTGGGCTCTGGGGGGCTGGCTGCGCACCCCTCTGCCTTTCCTCCCTGCCTCAGGGTCCCCAGTGCTGGAGCCCCGAGGGGGCAGAGCCAGTGTGTCCCACGGTCTTGGCCTTTTGGGGGCAACCGAGGAGAAGAAGCCTGGGGCGGGTGGGCCGGGAGGGCGCTGGCGTGGGGGGCATGACCGGAGGGGCCGGAGCACTGGGCGCTGGGCGGGGCTGTGTGTACCCTGAGCTGGTCCTGGGGTGCAGCCATCTCACGAGCAGCAGCCCATAGCGCCCAGGGAGGGGGGCTTGGTGAGAAGGGGTCTGCTGGGGGGGAGGGCAGCCTCACGGGGCACCCCCACAGCGAGGTGGCCCGGGCATGGGGAGGCACAGGGCACTGGGAAGGAGCCTCCACCCGCTTGGTGCCCTGTACTCACTAGGGCACGTCCTCACTCTCCATCCCGTAATTCCTGATGTTCGTGGCGGCCGTGACCCCGCAGATGATGAAGGGAACCCCTCCGCTGATCAGGTAGAACCTGTGAGTGCAGAAGGCCTACTCGGTGCCTGAGAAGCCCACCTGGGCCCTCAAGGTTGGCCTCCAGCAGCTTGGGCAAAGGGGGGGACCTGTGTCCTGACAGCACAAACCCCCCTGAGGGGCTCCTGCCAGAGCCGGGCCTCCCCCTCCCCCGGCCTAACCCCCTCCCTTCCCCTCCTCTCCCCTCCCCCACCCGACCCCTCCCCCACCCCTCCCCGACCCTCCCCTCCTCTCCTGTCCCCCGACCCATCCCCCCTCCCTCCCCACCCCCTCACAGCTTTGCGCACTGCCTGGCAGCCTGGCTTCTCAGCTGCTTGGGACACATCTGACCTCCGACTCCCCCGCCCCAGGACAGCGAGCAGTCTGGACGGGAGTTGGCACCCACTCTGGGCGTGACCTGACCTTCTTGCCAGCAGGGCCTCAGCCGGCAGCTCCATCTGAGGGCATTCTAGTGCCTAGTGTCTGACCCACTGAGGCCGGATCTCAGGAATGTGAGGAACGGCCAAGCACACAGGCCACAGACACCTGCCCTGGGTGTCTGGCCGCAGAGCATGCTGGTCCGAACGAGTGAGGGTCGCAGTGGCCGAGGGGCCAGCTTGCAGATGATCACCGGGAGGGGGTGCCACCCTCCTGGATGCCCCAAACACCCTAATGGGCCGATGGGCTCTTTGTCCCTGACGAGGGGAATGCCACGGTCCCGGGTCCATGGACGGGGGCAGGGTGACCCCTGGGGACTCTGTGCCTCCCAGAATTCTATATGCAGAGAACATGTCCTTCAGAACAAGACAAACACAGACATTTTCTGACAAAAATAAAACTGAGCGAATTTGTCAACAGCTGACCTTCAAGAAATGTTCAGTTTTCTCCTTCATGCTGAAGAGCTATTGCACCAGATAGAAACCCCAAAGAATGGAGAGCATCGGAACTTTAACTATTAGGGCAAACATAGAACATTTTGTTTTCTCTTAATTAAAAAAAAAAAATATATATATGATTGCTTGAAGAAAAAATTCTAATGCTGCCTAGTGGAGTTACTAACACATGTTGACCGATAGATGCCGCATCTTTGGCACCAAGATGGTGGGGGGGGTGGCCCCACAGGTGAGACTTCTGCGCACACTTTATATGAACTAGTGTGACTCTCACACCAAAGATATGGGGGAGAGTCCGTGGACTTTGATCCCTAAGGCAACATGAAAAATTAATAGGCAAAGGGCTAATAGATAATTAAAATGAAATGTAGAAAAATATTAAAATAATCCAAAAGAAAAAAAATAAGACAGGAAAGGAGGAGCAGAAGGAAAAGAAGAAGTAAAACCAGAAACCAGGTGGACAGGTGGTTAAAACGGAGACCTAAGTCCATCCGACGTCCTGGACCGGAGGCCCTGGTGCGGGCAGAGGTGGGCCGCTGCTGGTCCGCGGAGGGGACGCAGGGAGGCTGTGTGGGCACACTGACAGCGGGGGACGGACTTCCGGAGAAGGAGATAAAGAGCTCATTTTGTCGGAGTCAGCAGAGCCCACAGGAGGACACAGCGGCCGTGCGCGCACGGGGCCAGAGACTCAAACTACGTGAAGCAAGCGAGGACAGAATCACAGGTTGGAGCAGACGATCAAAATCACGGTCGGCGATCCGGACGCCCTCTCTTGGTGGTAAAGACACAGAAGATTTGAGCAACAGCACGACTCCCTTTGCCCCAAAGCTCTTCCTGGAACATCACGCCCAGTAACTGGCGGCAGTCGTTCCCGCCATGTGCGCGTGGTCTGCTCGCCGTGGCGGATGACATGTGTGCCATGGAACGAGCCTGGGTCGCGTTACCAGGGTTGTGATCACACAGCGCATACGGTCTGACCTCCATGGAGTCCAATTCATCAGTAACAACAAGGTAACTGGGAAAAGCACAAATACTTGGAAGCGAAACGACACACTTCTTAAATAATTCACGGTCGAAGAAGAAGTTGTAAGGGAATTTAGAAAATATTTTAAACAAAACGAGAAAGGAAAACAACGTATTTCTGGGAGGCAGCTAAAGCAGGGCTCGGAGGGACATTGACCACAGCGAATGTTTCTGTGGGATGAGCAGGGAGGCCCGGTGTTCGTGGCCCGGGCTCCACGCGCCAAGGCAGAAGAGAGCCAAGTAAGCGCAGAGCCCCCAGACGGAAGGAGAGCAGACCACAAGCAGTGCAGAAAGCCCCCCAGCCCAGAGTGGACGTCTGCAGCAGATGGACAGCCCTGCACTCACACCTCACGGGACGGAGAAGAGGGGGATGCAGACCCCCTGCCTCCCCAGGGCAAGGACGAGCCGTTGCCAACACCTCAGCAGCTTAGATGAAGGTCATAAATTCCCTGAGAAAAAGATAAATTAGCAAAATCGAGGTAAGAATTAGGAAATCTGAATACTCTCTATCTGGTAAAAAGGATGATTCCAATATCCACAAACATCTAACAGAGAAACTTCCAGGCCCCTCAGGTGTCACTGGGGAATCTGGTCCCACGTCTAAGGAAGAGATGACACGAATCCATCTTCTATGGGCTTTTCCAGAAAATGAAGGAGGGGCACTTCCTGACTCCGTTTGAGGGACAGTGGAAGCTGGTCCGAAAACCAGCGGAGACATGTGAACGCCGGTGAGCACAGACCCCCGTCCCTCTAACAGCGGATCAGCCGACAGAATCAAGGACTTTACCAACAGGAGAAAACATCACGACAGGTAAGATTTATCGCAGAAATGCAAAGCGTGTTACTCATAAAATGGAAGTAGCTTATCATGGAAATGCAATAAAGAGACTCCATGTGATCATTTTATAGACACAGTAAAAACACTTGACAGAATTTAATACACATTTGTCATAAGAAGTCTCAGCACACTAGGCACAGATAGACTCTCCTTGATCTGCTGAGCCACATCGACGGCAAAGCCTTGTGTGCTGTCCCTGGGGCGCCGGGGCTCCGAGCAGGGCTTGCGTCCCACGAAGCCAGCCCCCAGCAGGCGTAAGAAGGACGGGGTTGCCGGGGCAGGGATGGGACGGCGAGCCTGGCCTGGCGGCCTGAGCGAGGGGCTTGTTCCTGCTGACGTGTACAGAAGGGGAGTGGAGGAGCCCTTCAGGGGTCCAGCCTAGCACGCAAAGTGGGGCAGTGAGCCAAGCCAGACAAAACTGTAGGGAAAACATCCCCTTGCTTTAATGGCTGGAGGAGAATGCCCCAGCTGAGTGTGTGCTTGGGGACCTGGCCTGGCATGGTCCTGGCCCACAGCCGTCTGTGGTTCTGCTCCCAGCGCTGACCAGGCCCGAAGGCCTTCAGAACCTGCAGAAAGCCACTTTCCCCCGAGCCATGCCTCCACCCTCAAGTCAGACAAGGACCCTGGGGTTCCCGCCACGAGGTCCCTTTAACTCACGAGGTGGCACAGAGGCAGGGGCGCTGTGACGGGAACGGCATGAGGCTTGCTCTGCTCCAGCAGGCTCAGCAGCATCTGAGCTGGTCCCTCTGGTGTCCCGGGGAAGACAAAGGGGCGGCATGGCTAAGCGTTCAGCACCTGGGGTGAGGCCCCCTGTGGGTGCCCCCACGCGACGCAGCCTCCCTCGATTCCTGGCCAGTCCCAGGGGCTGTGCACCGTTCCCAGGGGACCGGACAGGTCCTCCAGTGAGTGGAGGCCCAGAGGCAGCCAGGGCCCTAGGGTCCCTGGCTCTCGGGGACCGCGCCCTCCAAGCCCCCCGGCCGCGCGTATCCTGCAGGGTGAGGCGGCTACAGCCCCTTCCACTGCCTCTGGCCAGGCCTCTCAAGCCAGTGGGTGCCTCTTCCATGGCCGGGGGCTGCCCCTGCCTCTCCCTGAGCTGCGTCAGCCGTAAGTTGCCAAGCCCCTGGATGGGCAGCCGAGCTCGGCTCCTGGTGGGACACGGGCTCTGTCGGCAGAGGGCGCTGCAGGCCGCAGCAGGTGCCCCCTCCTGAGATGGCTGTTCTTGAGGCAGCTGCTGGGCATTCAGCATGGTGGACATATAGGACATCTGCAGGGCCTGTCCCGTCCCCGATGCCGACTTCTGCACCAGCCTCAGCGCGCCCTGTGGCTGGGGTCCCCTTTGGCCCCGTCACCTGTCGACCCAAGACACACCCTCTCCCTTGGGGGGCTCCTGTTGTTTCCTCCTGGGCATCCCGTCCTGCTGTAGTCACTGACCCACGTCTCTTGTGCCATTGAAATCCCGTCCACTGGATCGGCCCCCTGCACAGCCCCAGAAGACACTGGCCCATCTAGGACCACTCATGGCTCTGTGTTCCCCGGTCCCCACACAGACCACCCAGGGCAGGTCTGCCGGAGGTCTGGGAGCTCACCTGGCTCCCAGGGCCAGACCAGCTTCTTCCTTTAGGGGAACGTTTCTAGAAAGAAGGGTGAACCAGGACCCCGAGGAAACTCCAGCCACTGCCCCTTGACACTACCCCAGACCCTAGGATGCACACAGGGCAGGGCCATAGGCAGCTGGGGAGGAAAGGGGAGTGGGGTCCTGGCTGGGCTCCCTGACAGCATGGGGACAGTGGTGCGGGGCAGGTGGGAGAGCCCAGCGATGGCCCAAGAGCAGAGCAAAGCAGCATTTAGGGTCAGGTGGTCCGAAGAGTAGGTGCAGTGCGTATGGGATATGCATGTTCAGGAACGTGAACTCCGCCCCTGCTGTGGGCTGATGATGGCCCCCAGAGCCGGGGTGTGCTGGCCCTGTGCTGTGGAGGGACCCTGTGGATGTGACTGAGTGGCACATGCAGGGACCCGGGATGGTCCGGGGCGGCCTGGGTGGCCTGATGTCGCAGGGGTCCTAGCAAGGGAGGTGGAGGTCAGACGGGAGGGAGGTCGCTGCAGGGCTGGCTGGGAGTCAGAGGGAGGCCCACAAGGAGCGTGGGTGCCTCCAGAAGAGGCAAGAAACTGTCTCTCCCCTGGAGCCTCCGGTGAGCCCGCCTGGCCACACCTGGATGTAGCCCAGGAGACGGATTTTGGGTTTCTGCCTGCCAGGACCGTAAGAAAATA